ACTGCTGACCATAAGTTCTGTGGGTCAAACCCCTCAACAGCTACATGGGGGAAAGGGGAGGCTATCTGCTCCTGGAAGGATTTTCTCCCTTGGGAACTCTGTATAGGATTGCTATGAGTCAGAATTGATTTGATGACAGTGGGTAGTGGGTTTGGTTTCACAAGGACCCCTGGTGGTGCTGTGAGATAAGTATTGGGCTACTAATCACAAGGTCAGTGGTTCAAACCTATCAATCACTCCTCGGGAGAAAGATGAGACTACTTGCTCCTGATTTATATTCCAAGATTTGTAGTCTTAGAAACCCTAAGAAGCAACTCCATTCTGACCTATTTAGGATCATAATGAGTTGGAACTGACTCAAAAGCAGTGGCTTTGCTTTCGGTTTGGTTTCAAAGAGTCTCTAGAACTCTAAGGAAGAACAGCAGGGGAGTAAACAGACTAGGAAGCAGAGGCACAATCGAAAGCACCAGCACAACTCTTTACTTTCTCCTCAAGGTTTTATGCATTGTGCGTTGTGTCAGACAGGGCTCTCTAGAGGAACAAACCAGGACACTAATAAGTTTATATATATTTATATAGATAGATAGATAACACAAGAAATACACAGTTAATCTATAAAGCAGGTCAAATAGCTCAGTGCAACTCACTCCCATGAGTCAGCTAGTCTACTGGCAGTCCTTCAAGTCTTGAGGGCCACTGGGTAGTCCTCTGTGGAGCAATTCAGGCCATCCGGCCACAGGCAGCAAACAGCAAGCAGGTCAGCAACACTCAGCCAGACGACAGGGTCTGACAGTCCCCACAGTGTGGCGAAGCAAGACTTGAAGTAACCTCAAGTTACAGTAACACAGTCCACGGGTTAGGTGTCCCACAGGTAGTGTAGCTTGCAAATGGAGGCACAGAACAAGCAAGGTAGCCGCTCACTGATCAAATAGCAAGAGTGAGAGAGGTGAGGCTCGCTGAGCCATTTATCTCTCCGCCCTTCAACTAATCTCAGTTGTGTTCATTGGCCATGTTGGCACAACAAACCTACCTATCACATACGTACAGCTAATTTGCATAATAAGTGCAACATGAGTCCACTGAAGTAATCTTAAAAAATGCAAAAGGAGCAGAGGGAAAAAGCTACGTTATACATACATTCCTGGGATGAGGTCCAGGTAGTATGGCAGGGGCCAGACCAAATCCAGGGATACATATGGTAGCTGACTAAAAAGAAGAGGGAAAAAAGACATGGGTAGCGGGGGAACAGGGCACTAACGCAGCCAGGAGGAGGGTGTTGTTTATATCTCCACAGGGAAAGAGGGACCAGCCTTTAACCTGGTGCTCCAAGATGTGAATTCAACAGACTGGCATGAAGTGGGAAACCAATAGACAGGTCTGAGAGGCTGGCCCCAATCCCAACTTCGTGGACAGGACCCCTCCACCTCCCACCCCTCACCCCAGAAGAAATCACTTCAGA